GTCTTTTAAAGGGATAGAATTATCTTTATTTACGATTATTCTAATGTTTCTAATTAGAATTTACTTTATTTTTTCCTTGCTTTGGAGAAGGGCCAGAATTTTCGGGAGAACTATTACAATTATAATTTAAATACATTGAAATATTTCATTGGTAAATCTGGATACAGAAAAGCAAGGGTTTTTGTAGAAAAGAATAGTCAACTAGTTTCAAAGTTCCTCCCCCCTTATGAAGTGACACTAAGAGATTGATTGAATTCCTCTTTTGTTTTTGTTCATTTTCCTTTAAATTTTCTAATTTGTGAAGATGGATTTTGCTTGTTTGAAATGTTTTGGTTTTAACACTTTTAAATTCATTGTTGCATTTATATGATTATTTGAAATTTATTAATTATGAATTTCAATTTCTGGTCTTTGTGAAATATTAGTTCTAAATTTCTTACTTTATGTCTTTAATGATATATATATATATATATATATAAAGTCCAAAGGGGCAGTTTGCCCAGAAGGACTATTAATTTCGTTTTGACATTTACTACAAGCGTTGTTTCACTTTTCAAATAGTTGCCACCAAATATTAACGACCTGTATTATATTTAAGATAAATTAAATAATGAAGAAGCTGCATTAATGTATGTATGTTTCTCACACTAGTGAAAACAACAACGGTACCTAGAGACATCAAATTTTGAATAACGTCAGTTCCTCCATTGCAAATACGGGCATCTGGAAGCCCACATTTGAAATTTGGAATTTGTTTTATTACCGATTTCACTTTTGTAAAACATTAAACGAATTTTTTGATTAACAAACTCAAGGATTTCAAAGCGAGCAATGGCAAAACTTTGTACCAAAAAAAAAATTTTTATCTCCAGCTCGCGAGATTGTGTATCCGAAATTCTAGAGATATGCTATTTCAGGATATTGCTCTTGAACTGAATTTTGTGGTTTAAGTGCGAAGAACATGATATTTAATAAATAAAGGTAACACACAAAATGTTTGGGGGAGGGGGAAAAAAAACACGCCTCTTTGGACATAATTTAAATCAATTTTAAACCTTTCAGATTTAAAAAAAAAAATTTTTTATAGTTATTTTTTATTTCTTTATTAGTTTCATTTAAAATTATAACATATAAATAGTAAATAAAGTTCTAGAAAGTCAAAAAATATTGATGCAATAAATATTCCTTGTATTTAACTCACTTATGTCAAAAACGTTCTCATGTAAATAAAAGAAACAGTCTCTTCATTTATACCTTTATCATTCTTTAACAACTTAATGATATTCAGTTTTGACTACCCTGAAATAAATAAATCTTTCTCCCATCATGAAAAACTAGAAATCTCCTGCTTTTTGTGATGTATTTACTACCCATTGTTTAACTATATTATTTTCTTAGAGAAAATTATATTAAGTAAAATCTTCTTACAGTTTATTAGCAATGCCAAAGACTTCAACACAGTTCACATAAATTCATTTTAGAACCAGCATAGAGATCTCTGGTTATCATTTTCCTAAAACAGTCAAATATAGTCACAAATCTCTTTCATGTGCATAATAAAAGCTATGGAAACAGAATGAAATTTATTGATACTACAAAATAAAACCACCTACAAACTTATTCTGAATGAGTTGATGTATCTTCAAGGTAAGAACATATGGGCCATTAATATTCGAACATTATGGCAATATTATTTCATGCACAATTAGTAAAACATTTTTTTGACTTTACATTGATTACAGACATGTTTATATAGCAACAGATTTGCAATTGGCCTGTTTCTTAAAAATAAATAAATAAATAAAAATTAAATCATCTGAAAGCTTTCAAATCTTATATTACGCCCAAACAGGGTTTTCTTTTTTCAATTTACAAATACATACATATTTCAGGAACAGTTGGGCTAAAAATATTTAAAAACAACATATCTTTAGAATTTCTGATAGACAGTCTCCCGCACTGGAGATAAAAATGTTTTATTCCCTACAGTGCCACTGCTCACTTTGAAATTGTTAAGTTTTTAACAAAAGTTTCATTTAAGTTTTAGAGAATATGAAAGAGACAATAAAAAAATTCCAAATCTGGGCTTCCAGGGGCCCATGTTTGGGTGGAGGACTATGTTATTCAAAATGTGATGACTCTAGCTACCGTTTTTCTACAATGCAAGAAAATGCATACATTCATACAGATTCTTCATTACTTAAGTTTCTTTAAATATAATACAGGTGATAATATTTGGTGGCAACAATGTGAAAAGTGATTCGACACAAAATGCTGTTCAAGACTAATAGCCGCTCTCCGCTAATGCTCATTTGGGAGAGGAAGGGGAACACTTTATTGCAGTAATAATGCTTTGTTGTTTGTTTGTTTCAAAATGCCATTTTGATGTTTAGAGAGGGGGGAAGCAGACAGTTTATTTATTTCTTAAATGTGACAGGCAAATAATATTTTAAAGTGAATTTTAGAGTAAACAAGGTCTAACTTACAAAAAATACCCATTAGTTTTTCAGGGAAAGGGTTTTGTTATACAACAGTACTATCAAAACTGTGGTATTGTAATTTTTCTTCATAAGAAAGTTATATTTATTTATATTTAGCTTCTAATTAAACTAAATATCAGAATATTTACCTTAGTAATGCAAACATCAATCAAAATACATTTAACATTACTTACAAATACCATACTTACTCACATAATCCCCTTCACTTCCCCACCCCCAAGGTTCTGAAGATACTTTAAATGTTCAGGGAAATTTCCCTTTCCAAGGCATTCATAAAGCAAGTTCCCTTAAATTTTAAAATGGATTTATGGGCTCTGATTGATGAAGAAATAATAGAGAAGAACTTCAACTACAGAAAGGCTATCTAATACTCAATCAAGCTGCACCAGATAAAAACAGTGGTTGTAGCAGCACTAAATGATTTGACACCTTGAGAGTAGCAATGAACAACAATAAATAAGAGTGGATATACTTCGAGATAAAGAAGAAATGAATATATCTTATTAGATATTGTGATATTAATACTAATATGTATTCTATATTTCTGGAACTATCTATGTTTCTTTTAAATAAATAATATTGCAAGAGCTACCAGCAATTTATCCATGAATACTTTTGATTTGTTATGTTTTTACTGTGGCCATCCCTCAAAGTTAAATTATTTGCGTAATTTTCCGTTCTCAATTTTTATAGAACAAAACTAATAAAGAAAAGGCTAAGGGAGGACTACAGGAGTAAATATACTATAAACTCGCAAGCTCTCTTCTTGCAGCTTAGAGAACTTCCAATGTTACTACAAACATTCTGCTTATAATACTGAAGAAGGACCAATCTTTTATGCTTCAAAAGGTATCACAAAAAAAAAAAAAAAAAAAACAGGGCTGTGGAGTCAGAGTCGGAGTTAGGCAGATTTTTTGTTAAAAGGAGTCAGAATTGGAGTCACTAAAAACACGACAACTCCGGCTCCAGTTCAAGTTGGACAGTTTGAATTTGAAATGAAATTAAAGTGAACTGAAAAAAGATTTAATGACAGACTGAGTTATTATTTTATTTTTGGACTATATACATTAATAAATAGTTATTTCATATTTTATTGGCATATTAATAAATAAATATATGGGAGGAGGATGAATGTGATATTTGCCAATATTGATTAAACTGCTTCATTTAGTTACAATTTTGGTAAGCAGCAAGAACTACCAAAATTGATGTCATTCTTAGGAAGCAGGAAAAAGAGCAATTATTGATCACGGAATGTGACGCAGAAGTATTAATGATATAGAGGTTGTTAGAATTAAGAACTTTTTTAGAAGATGTAGATAACCCTAATCTTCACTAAAAGAAAGACTGTGGAATGATCTTGCAGAATTGGAATCACTTCTTTCTATACTGAATATAGCCACAAAAAAGCTACAATCTGAAGAATTAACGGGAGGCGAGAATGGAAGAATATGATGTTTGTTCATTCTGAAATGAAGGGTTTATTGCAGAAGGAATTGTTTTTCAATGAAGAAAAGAGAAACTAGTTTGCTAGGCAATGAGATCTTGCTAGGTTCATTATATGTAGATCCAAACACCAAATTTTGTTGGATGACGAACAAATTAAAAAGGCAAAGAAAGCCATCTATGAACTTTCATTAAGAATGAAATTATTTTCAAAACAATTGGAGTATTCAAATCAGGACAGTCAAACTGCAGACATTGCAATTGAGTCTCTATCATCCTCTTCCAGTGATGAATTATATTTTTAAAAATATTTGGATAATATTGAAAAGGCTTAGGCAAAACAAATGAAAATAAAGAACCAAGAGCTTTTAGATATAAAAATGAAAAAATACAAACAAAATTTCTGTATAAAAATGCAAAAATACAAATAAAATTTCTGTACAGCATTTGAAGAAATAGAGAAATATGATTGCACTTTCAAGTCACTTCTTTTAGATCTTATAAAAATCTAGCCTGAAAAAGTTAAACGAAGTAGCTCTAACAGTAACAGCTTTCTTCCTCCTATTCAAGTCAGTGAGGAAAGACTCTTCTCAGCTCTGAAGTTCATCAGATTGGATCTATGGTCCTTTATCAAAGAAGATCTTGCCGAAGCTATACTGTTTCTTAGAGATTACTAATGCCAATTTTTCCATTTCATAATAAATGCTAATTAATATACATAGTTTGCTATCAATTTTTTTCCTATAGCATCTATTACTTCTTTTATATTGAAAAAATAAGCTGCAACCCATGTGTATATCAGAGTGGGAGTCTGTCATTTTTCCTGCCAACTCCACCGCCCTGATAAAAGATTTATATTATTATACTACTTACTTTCTACAGTACTTATACAGTCATAATTAAAATGTGGAGATTACTTTTAACAGATCAATGATATACTATAACATACACTTTTCTGAATTTTGCTTTAATCTCAAAAACCAATGCTTAAAGACATATGTCTAATGCGAAAAGAAAGTTTTAAGGAAATTTTAAAAAAAGAAAACCAGACAATTTGATGAACAGTTTTTATTGTAAATAACATGCATTTTTTTAGTACATGAAAACTTCTGTTTTCCACTGATGAACTAGGAAGATGATAACTAGTTACACTGGACAGACATAACAGAATTTATTAAAATTTCTTTAAATTTAGCAAAAACATGAAACAGGGTTGTATATCAATAGTGCTTTTGATTTAATCATGTGAGTTTTCACACCTAAATATTAGCAATTTTAAAATATTCATTTCATTCTGAACCACTAAATATCTCAGGCATTTTCAGTAATCTCCAGCTAAAACACTGTGATCATGAACAATATATAAATTAGCTGTTGAATTAAATAGCTTATGCAAGAGTAACTACATAAAAACTTTCACAAACAATAATAGATTTGTCAATTACATTACAACAGTACACTCAACACGATTTTTTAAAAAATTTACATAGAAAAAAAGGCATCATAAAAGTGGTTTATAAATGTTAGTGATTTTAAATATATTATCACACTCAATATTGCTTAATTACTAAGGCACAGAAATCACAAGCTGTGCTTTTCAGTAACAATCTATCCCATCAACTTTTATACAAGTTAAGGAACTATATTTAATGCTTATCTGAAATGTTAAAGAGAACACACAGAATTTTGATTCATTTTTTAAAGTTCACTAATAGAACATTCCAGATGATAATTAGTAAACATGCAGAAGGTGTAAATATAGACTTAACCAAATGCTTCTTGCATGTGGCCACACAGTGCAAAAGTGCAGGATTAACAAGAAGTAGTAAGTCTTACCCTTTGAGAGGCATTTATGATTTAAAAAAAAAAGAGTCTTTACACTGCAAAGTAAGAAATCTCATAGTTTGCATTTATTTTTTAATAAAAAATTTAATTTAAAAATTTCATAGGAATTTTTTTTTAAATTGATAAAAGACATTCATGATTATTTCTTATTACTGATGGTATTTTTACATTAATAAAAAAAATATTTATAATACATATAATAAGGAAAATAAAAGGGTATTTTTTTAATATGCCTCTCTTGATTAATATGAGCACCTTGCTCCATGTAACTGAAAGTTACATGCTGATGCTTGTGCTGTCAGGGTGCAAGTGTGCATGGAAATTTTCATACCGAGGAAGGTAGCAGATCATTAAATTACCAAATTAGCTTGTGTACCAACTCTCATTTTTCTTTTATATTGACATTTTTTACGAATTTAATAGAGAATGTTTCAATTATTTAAGAACCTGCCTAACAAAATATACTAAGTATGATAAAGAAATATACAATACATTTCTTACTGTACATTGCTTTGTCTATTTCCTATTAGTTCTTATATTTTGTATTTGTAATTTCCTATATACTTGATTGTTTTTCCATTCGAATGCATTAGTAGTTGAATTTGTAGAATGCATTAGTAGTTGAATTTGTAGAATGCATTAGTAGTTGAATTTGTAACCAGTCTTTGATCTGAATTAGATAAAAACACATGAAAACAAAATATTGGGAAATAAGCATGATTAACATACTTAATTACCATAAAACATATACAGCTAAAAATAAATAAACAAAAAAACATGTAAGTTTTATGCTAATAAAAAAAGGTAACTAGTCCATAGATAAAATTTTGTAGTGTTTTTCTAGAAGAAACATTTATTATAATTAGTAATTTAAAATATTTATAAGATTTAAATTTGGTTTAAAACAAGAGCTGGCACACAATTACAATTTATTCTAATTACTAATTTCCTAGTAAAAAATGCACATAAAGTTTTTTTTCATGGATTCCAAACAAAGTGGAAGATAAACATTAAATATACAATAACCTTAACACAAATATTATTTATACAATTTTTTAAAATTTATCTTTACATGATACATTGCAAAGCATATTATTCTAAATTCATTTTGATGTCAATAACATTACAAAATTTATGAGAAAAATTCATTCAGACTTCAATTAAATTTTCAAGTGATTCCTTTAATGTCATATGGCTTAAAAAATTCAGGTCAAAAATACATGAATTTTTGTGCTAAAATACATGCATGATGGATGAAAGCAGTGGCATGTATGAAAAAAAGACAAGGCACTGAGTTTTGAGCACAAAACCATGATGAATCTGTATAAATGAAAACATGGAACTTAGAAGAAATACAGCATGTAGCTTATTGATGGTGAGCAAATGGTCATACTGCTTGTTTCCAACACCTTTCAATTTTTAGTCTTCCAAATAAAAGAGACGTAGGAGTTTAATTTTAAATTTATCTTTAAAATATTTTTTTAAAGTAGAGAAACTATTTGTGAACAGACGATTTGTTTTACTCAACATAAAATGAAGCATAAAGTTTGAATTAATAAAAAGTTACCCTTATACTTAAATTTACAGGTTAATTTGAATTCATACAGGTACCCCATAAAAATATTCATAATTTTGATTTCAGACAATATTACATGATGTATTTATTTAATTCATCCCCTCCCTTAAACTAAATACTTTTTTATGTATTTTTTTAATACAAACTGCTGAAAAGGAAGATAAAATATTTTAGCTAAGGAGAAATAAAGATACTCATGCCTCTAAACAGAAAGAAGAAAGAAAAAAGAAAAAAAAAAAAAAAAAAAAAAAAAAAAACAGAGAGAGGTACTACACACATACTTTTACCATTTGATAATGCACCTGATTTAAATTTCTGGGCAAAAGTGTGGTGGTCATCATTTACAAATTTCTGGGTACAAATCTAAATTACATTTTCCTTTAACAATACCAAAACTATACACACAAAAAAATAATAATACACTTCAAACGCAGTTTCAGATTGATTTTAACAATTGTCTTTTCATTTGTAATTTTCCCAAACATGCATTTTATGATAAATTTTAGTATTCTATGTACACATAAAAAGTTAAATTTGCTCAGAAGTTTAATATATTTTAATGTAACATGAATAAATGGGACACCTGTACTTTCATGACAAATTTCCTCATCTTATGAAAGATGTAAAGAAATAATATATAAAGTTATAAAGTATATAAGTGTTTAAAACAACATTCAAATAATATTAACGAATTCAAAAATATATTTAATATAAGTAAAAATTAAAACAATCCCAAACATTTGATCTAATTTCCCATATTACTATTCCTTTATTTGGAAGACTAAATATCTAGTAAAAGTTTCCTTGGATAACTTAAAATATACATGAAGCAATCAAGAAGTAATAATTACAACATAATCATCAAGACTTAGAATAATTAACAGTTTTGATCACTATACCACTACCAAGTTTAAAACAGAAAAGAAAATGGTACAGTAGCCAAGAAAACTTTTACCGGGCAACAACTAAGAGCATCCGAAAACAATCCTCTTCATTCAAAAAGTTCTCCATCTAGCGAATGAACAAAACAGTCACATGTCATCGCTATCTCTATATTCTTCATATATTATGCACTATGCACTGTTTTTCTTGTTTTTTTTTTAATTATTTTTTATCTCATAGCCAAGTCAGTACACTATCCTTATTGGCTGCTAACAAAGCTTCCACATCAGAAAGTATATCTGCATTCAGTTCTTCCTATGAAAGATAAAGACAGATAAAACAGTTTAAAAATCAGTTGTGGAATATTACAAAAAGAGATTTAAAGAAACTTTAATTTAAAAAATATAGTCAACCAAAAAGTATATTACAGTTATATATATATATACTGTTTGTATACATATATATATCTTCTATTTATCACAATATTTCATCTAAATTTATAATAGTACAAATATGTAATAATTAAATTTTGGGCTACATTAATCACACTTAATATGTATTCACCAACTTCCAGAGCATATGAAAGATCTGAGCAATACTGAATCTCACTGACATACTTATGGATTGTTGCATGCAGACTTTAAAGGCAATTAAATACAAGCCACAGCAATTAAAACAATTACAGAATTTAACAATATGACTTCTCCTGAATTAAATCTCAAATCTGAACCCATCTTTAGATCACTAGATTTGTTGATAACACAAACCATACACTTCAAACTTACAGTTGAATCTTGAACAAAAGTGGCCAGGATTTATTATAACATTATAGTGATTTTTAAATCTGCTATATCGACATCACTATAATTTTCGACTTTTGCACATTGATATATTGATAAGTTTATGTCTTCCTGTGGAAAGATTAACTATAATGATGCCTACATAGAAGAGTACTTATGCTCTTAATTTATCATTCAAGTGTAATGTTTTATTGACAATATAGAACCTAAAAATATTTTTTGCCCTCATTGGGATTTGAACAATGTATTTATCAATTGCTAACTGGGTGTGCTAACCACTTATATGATAACTCATGCATCGGAAGGTAAAAATTCCTTACATTCTCCCCACTTATAAGGTGATTAGGAAGAAACACAAGATTCAATTGATAGCATCCCATGGTCACATCAACCACATCTTAATTTGAGTACCGCTATAGAGCCTACTAGGTGTTTTAGATCAAAAGATGTGAAAATTTGTTTATGCCTTTGCCAGGATTTGAAACAAAGAACCTAAAACTGCTACTTGGATTTATTAACCACTTAAACCCAAAAATCTAAGGTACGGGTAAATGTGACAATTCCTAATAATGATAGATATTTCCAGTGTACACTGAAGAGCAATTGAACTAGGGATACCGATATAGTGGCACGTAGCACCACCTTTTGCCTTGATGATGGCTACGATTCATCTTGGTGTTGACTCGACAAGACACTAGAAGAGATAGGAAGCTATAAGCATCCACAACTCTTGAACAACCTTCGCTAATTCACCAAGATTATGTCGAAGGTGGTCAAAGCCTCGAACACCTCTCTCAATTGCATCCCAGATGTGCTTGATTGGATTCAGGTCAGGCGATTTTGATGGCCAAGAAAGCACATGCATGTCTGTAGAAGGTTTATCCAACCATTCTGATACAATTCAGGAGTGATGGCACGTTGCATTGCTCGCTGAAAGATAATCTCTGTAAGGGACTCTTGAAAACAAATACGGGAGCAGATGGTCATCAAAGATATCCGAGTATCATTTATCTGTGAGACACATCATGCATACCAGGGTTCCTACTTGTCCATGTGAACAGACAAGAATACTAGCTTGACCAGCTTGAAGAATCCCCTACTGGTAAGAAGAATCCATCACTTTATGCCGTTATGCCATACACATATTTTGCCATTGGCGTATAGTAAAGTGCATCTCGACTAATCACTACAGACAACATTTTTCCACACTTCGATGATCCATTGGCAATGTTCCTGTGCCCATGCTAATAACTGCATCATGTTTTGTACAGTCAGCAGAGGGACTGTCATAGAATAATGACTACTCATGTACCCCGTCAAGAGGAGACGATTTTGTATGGTGTGGCAGCTTACAAGTTGCTGAGCACCAGTTTTAAATTGACAGGTGATCTGTTGCACTGTGGCCCGTCTATCTGCTGTTAAAACACAGGCTGGCTGACGATGACATTGGCCATTCACACAATGTTGTCTGTGACAGCTGATTCTGGCAGGGATGGTTTTACAGGAATCAGCATACTCATGGTACACCCTTGACAAAGTGGTCCATGAAAATCCGAGTGCCTGCACTACTTCTGAAATGGAGTGACTCATTCACCAAGCCCTGACAATTTGGTCATGATATCAAACATGACCTAGATCTGTATTCTTACCCATTTTGCTTTTGACTATTACTAATACCATGAGCAGCACTCCTTATCGTGTCAAACTGCTGCTTATGTCATTTGCAAGTCAGTTCCAGGCACAGCTCAAATTTCACATAGCACACAGCTTTCATGCAGCAAGTTCCAGGCACAGCTCAAAATTTGCACAATGCCAACTATCCCTAATTCAATTGCTGTTCAGTATATATATATATATATATATATATGATGCTGGAAAATGATAAAAAAATTTTTATAAGTAATTTATAGTTCTGACATGTTCAAAAGTTTCTTTTTCTCCCTCTTCCCTTTTTAAGACTTCCAGGCTGTGTTGTTAACCCCTCAAGGACCAGCGCATGGAGAACAAAGCGCAGTCACGGGACCAGCCTCGCTGAAATGGATCAGCGCCAGTGGTCCACGCATTTTCAGCAGTTAAGCCTAATTTTACAAAAAAAAATTGTTATAAATGACTTTAATTTTAGAAGCTGCGTATTTAATGTACTTTTCTAAATGTGTATTAATATAAAGAATAGCACATTAGTAGAAATAAATAAAACAGGCAAAATACTAAAATCATAACTATACACACAGAAATAAATACTATAAACATGAAAACAAAATTATAAATATGAAATTTATAAGCAAGAATTACTTGTAGGTAATTAAATTTCAATTTAAAAATTCTGTTGCATGTGAAATAATTCAAAACAAGGATCGACACACAGTCCTACATTTGCATATTTTGCACTCAAAATAAGTTGTTTTCTTTTGCTTTTCCTTGTTTTTAGCGCACACAACATATCTTCTCCTAACTTTATTATCTTTTCCCTCAATGAAAATTTTCAGAAAATATCTTCCAGTCAGACGGAAAGGTGGAGTGTCAGGCAATTTTGGACACATTTTTAAGTAAGGTCTCTTAGCTATGGCTAATGGAATGTGATGTGATGTATTTAATTATGGCAAAGCACACTAGGGCTATCTCCTAAGGGGAGGGATGCCTTCGTGGAGGACTTTATAAGGGAAACTGGCTCGTATACACGTTACACATGGGGAAAACCACAAAAACACCCATGCAGCCAGCCCGTTCGCGATTCGAACCTCAGACCGAACTACCAGTGTTTAGCGACTTTACCGCTCGGCCGCTGGTGGGCCTGGCTAATGGAATGAAACTGAATATAACCATTCTCACATTTAAATCTTTTCTCTATTTTGACAGAAAACACCCCATAGAATGGATCCAAATATCTTCCACCCCTCTTCCCTCACACCAAATCTCTTGACAGGGCTTTTGTATGGCAGCCATTAAATTGCTAAAAAAGCTCTCAATCAGAACACACCCATAATTGCATGCTCCATATGGGCTTTGACAATACCTGCTAATATTTTTGGCAATCTGGTGCCTTTCTGGAAAACATAATTTTCAAAGTCCTACGTCCATTTCCTAAAACTTCCAGAAACTCATACTACACCATATAAATAACAGCTCTGACCCAAGAAGAGTAATCTGTTATTCAGGTTTGAGAGACTGGTTCAGAAAGAGACAGCAGAACTGCACTTCATAATTTACCCTTTCAGTGATACTGGGAATTAAGAATACCTCTTGTGTGCTAAGGAGCATTTATTTTAATATCTGGTTCTCCTGAGCTATTTACAGCTACTAACTTTTGCTGTGGATTGATTTATTTCTAATAAAGCATACATTTTTTCCCTGCTCATTTTGGAGTGATTGTTTAAAGAGACATCAATGAATCTACAGCTCACAATAATATTATTTTAAAGTACATTAATTTCTGCAACTGACTGTACACATTAAGGCTTGCAAGTTTGCTTAATTTTCAAATGGCTTTTTTGATTTCTTTTTCAACATTTATTAGCTAAACTTATCATTTATTTATTTTAGTTAATATTAATTTAAACTTAATTCAAAATTTTAATTTTTTTTTATTCGATGTATATAACACATATACATATAGAAAAGCAAGATATATAAATTAAAACTACTAAAAACATTATTTTTAACATAATTATGACAGTCTGTAAATTTTTATAGCCATACCTAAATTGGTCATTAGATATTATCTAAAGCAAATTAAAAATGAGGCATGTTTTTTGTTTTTTTAAAAATTTTTCAGAAATTCCTTTGTTAATTTGAGTCATTCTGTGCCTTTCTTCTTCATATTTCATGTTTATATTTTGAATAAGGGAGAGTTACTAAATTAAACATAACAAAATTCGGCAACACAAAACAAGCTCAGTTTTATATACCATAGGTATGTACTGAAATTTTTTTTAAACAGACCAATTTTAAACTTATTAATACTAAAAGTTTAGTAACATTTTAACAGGCCTGAGCAGATTTTTTTGTAATGAATATGATAAAGCATTTCAAATGAAAACCTGAAGTATTTAAGAGAATTTTTTTAATATTTAATTAAATTTTAACAAAGACAAATAAAATTCAAATGCATTTCTGTGAATATTACTTTTTAGATAAAATCCACTTTTGATAAAATTTTACATTTGTTTAAATAATACTAAATTGAAAATTTGTATCCATTTTCTTATTCAATATTATTTTACTACCATTTATAATATAAATATTCATTACATAAACCTCTTAGTACAAATATTTCTTTTTCTTTTCCCTTTCTACTTCAAAAATTTTATAACCATTAAAAATGGTAATAATAATAATAAAAAAAGAACTTACTTGTAAACTTGGAACTAAATCATCAGTATCCATATGATCATCACCAAGGTCCAAATTTGTTTGAAGGTCTAAGCCTAAATCATTACTTTGGCGATCTAAGACACAGAAAAAGATTTATTAATTATTATCAATAAAAATTATATGACGTACAATTATCAGGAGTATATCCATTACAAACAGATGAATAATCAAATGATTGAAATACTGACAGTGACTTAACACCATACATTTCAGAGACATACAATCTTTTCCTTATATGTATTGACATGCATAACAATTTTTCTACATGAGTAATAGTCTTTCTCCTATATGTGTTAATGCAGATTTTATTCATTGTTTTCTGTATTATTTCAAGCACTATCACAATTTCATATGCATAAACATACACACGAAATTTTTTTTGTTAAATTACAATAATGGTTTACACACATATACATGCAACGCTAACAAAATGGTATTTAGGATTTCTGAAAAAATCTTTATAACTTTTGTCGCTTCCAAATTATTTTTTGAAGGAAACAGTTTCTCTACATATTTTTCTGTCACTTATGAGTGAAAATTACGCACAACACTTTACTATCCATTCACTTTTACAGTTACCTACTTCATTATATAAGATATTAGTTTCAAATATAAAACAAAATTAATTTTTTATTATTTCAAGTGCATTAAAAACTCAAATATCATCAAAATATTAAACTTCAAATCTATCATGCATGCACTATTACATAAAAATCTAATTCAGCGCCTAAAATTTCAGTCTCATCTAAAGGAATTAAAGTATTTATTAACTTCAGAGATATTTCTCAGCTCATAATTGGTTGCCTAAATAATGCCTAATAAAGGACATCATCAATATTAAAAACAGAACTTCACACAAAGTTTAATTAATCAAAATGTCAAAAGCCAGCACTTGTTTTTATTAATTCTTACTCTTTTTATTATACAATCAAAAGTCGTTAATCCGGACTCGTCAGGACTTCGGCGATTCCGGATTATCGATTTTTCCGGATTATAGATCATCAGTTTAAATCTGGTAGGATGGCATGCAGAAATTACAAAATTAAAAATATGAAACCGTAATTTATGAAATAAAGAACAATTATGATCTAAAGGGTATCAAAATTTACAAAAAAAAAAGCTTAATATTTATTTGTTTACTTTATTAAACATTTCTTTCAATGTAAGTTGTTTAAGTTGCTTCGTTTTATGTGATAATACTTTCTCTTTAATTCTATTAAACAGACATAATTTCTTGTTTAGTTACAAAGTTCCGCTGTTCAAGTCCTATAATTGCTGTGTCGAGACTAATTTGTCAATCTAAATTTTTTCGTTTTCAATAATCACTGTGTCACTTTCTTCACTATCGGAAGCGAATTATAATGACGAGGAACTTGATTTAAATCATATCAAAGACGGAGTACATCGAGAAGAAATACTACATTTAGTAAGGAATATAAGCCAAATAAAATAAAAGCATGTGCGCTGAAGATAAGGATAGTGCTGACAGATCAACTTCCAATTCATTACGTGTCGCGTCGTTTTCCCTCCCTCCCACAGAGCAGCGTGAAATTGATAAACATATTTCGGAATGATTAGATAATCAAAGATAATTATAATCAAAGATAAAGATAAGATTAGATAATTTATCCATTTTTTTGCAGCAATTCCATTTTCTGTTTAATGGACTTCGAAACATACTTTCGCTTTGTAGATCCTTTACATATTAGTAAATATATATCGGAAATTCTATTTGACATAATCAAAAGTTCAAGCTTACATTTATAAAATTGCTCTAACAGTCTGCAAAAAAATAATAAGCCGGATCCAATTCGAAGGTTAAGGAACAATGTAATTTGCAACATTAACTGAATTAGATAATTTTAGCTTAGCTTATACCGTCCGTTATACAAAAACGCGCATGTGTAAACATATTATGCGCATGCGCACACGCATATTCGCAGCCGTAAAGGTCTTACGCGCACGCGTAAATGCCTTTCTGCTCATGCGTCAACGTGACACATGCGCAGAAAGTTTGTAGCTTTGAGGTCCGGATTATAGATCATTCCGGATATGGGTGTCCGAATTAACGTTTTTTGACTGTAGTAGAATTTTAAAAAAATATAAAAATTTGGGTACTTACATACTATGACGTACCTTGGCAACATTTGTGATAAAAATCTTCATTGGCGTTTCTTGGTTTATGTTTATACATTCTTTTAAAAATAAAAGCCTAATTATAAAGGGGAAAAAGTATCCCCCAAATCCTTCAAGCATATAATTATTCCAATCAATAACAGGCTTATTGGATAAATCCAACTGATTTTTGCACCATTTAATGGAAGACTGTTCATATGCCCAAAAGTAAATAAATCTTTTAATTTTAATTTAAAAATTCAATATGACTGTTTTCATACCACGTTTGGAAAACAAACTTTTGTTGACAATTTTTGACATTGCATCTCCAATAAAATCCTGAATTATAAAACTTCATATCATGGCCGTTTTTACAAATGCGTTCTTTGGGTAAAATTCCAGCCTCTCTGAAGAATTCTATTGCTTCTTCTTCATTTGAAGGAAGTTGGAAAATGTTGATATCCATTGGAAAAAATATAATCACAAAATGTTTCCCGTGTTTAACCCAAACATAATAATCCGCATAAATGTAGCAAAAAAAGGTGTGGTAATAGCAAGTGTGGAATAATACTCTTTATTTTAGCGGCCTCAATAACTTATGTAACCTACAAGGGTCGGCAGTTTTGGTGAGATATCTAGGTAGTCGTCAAAGTACGGAAGTACCAAAGTTTGTATTAATTAAAAAAAAATTACAAAATGCAGAAAAATATGAATGCATTAAGTACTTCTTAAAAATATTCAAATGGCAGTTTCATTTTAACTTTTTACATAAATATGTAGTTTTTGAAATTAAAAATTACATTAGTGTTAATATAGGCATAACATTCTTTTTTTTTTTTTTTTTTTTTTTTTTTTGAGACAAGTTTAAATAAAAATTCTCTCTATTTATAGAAACCCAAGCATATTTCAACATTTAATATGATAAATGTTGAAAGTGCTTTCTTCAATTTCAAAAGAAAAAAAAATTAACTATCTTTTGCTATATTTCCAACTACTAACTTTTAACTAATATTTAAAACAAAAGTACAATTATTAAACACAGAGAAATACTACCAATGATTTTGAATTAAAAGGAATGATTGCAGTGTAAACTTTCCTGTAAGTGAAAACTCTTTCAAGAACTTTTTCTTTCTTTGTGAGAGAGAAAAGACTTGTGGGAAGAAGTGACACAGTGACTGGAAAAAACTGGAGGATAAGTCTACTTATATATTTTATAAAATTTGTTGTCAAATCAACTTATTTAATTGTTATTTATCATGGGATAAATATAAGTTATTTACCAATTTAATAGGAGGATAATTAAAGGAAAATGGATTTGTTGGAGATATGGTATTTCATATTTAGTTTTGACAACTGTAAAATAAAATTAAAAAGTTGAATTTGGAAAAACAAACGTATGAGAGATAACAGCAAAAAAGAAAATGCATGAGAAATTTCTATTAGTATGAGAAAGATGATGTAAATAATAAATTAATTAATGTCAAACAGTGTCTCTTATTTAGCTGCATAAGCAACATATCCGCCTAACTATCTTTTGGTCTATGTACCTTTTTACCTATTTATTTATTCTTCAGTCTGTTCATATAACTGTGCAGCTAACTGCCTGCCTACCTTTCTGTCTACATAACTGTGCATCCCTACGACAAAGAAGATCCGGCTAAGAGAACCAAGACTCAAAGAATAAGTCACTGCACTACTAAGAAAAAAAAATTAATGGGCAATTACATCTCAAAATTACTAATATTTAATAAAGTCCTTACCATCCACATCATCCATATTGCTAAGAAAATCTTCAGGGGTGTGAGGGAGGCTATAATTTGTGCCAAGTCCCAAACCACTATCAGCACTCTCCTGGCGGGAATGAAAATCTGTTCCTCCTTCCAAGAAGGAATCCAGGCTGGTGGATACTGGAGGAAGATCAGGGGTAGAGCCTGTAGGTGAAGTTGCAAGAGACAGCTTTTCTCCTAAACTTTGTCTCAACAACATTTCCTGCTGATAAATTAATTAGAATTTAGAATAGGATTAAACAATTACTTGCAATGTTAAAAAATGAGCATACAGTAATGCTTATGTCACAATTTATGACATATTGCAAACAGAAAATAACTGCATGAGTGCAAAATATGACCAGCTGACAGATGTATTAAACTAGACTAGAAAATTATGATATGATAAGAAATGAAAAAGACACTAATATATAAAACATAATAACTTAATCAAACTTCTTTGTTTTAATTAAGCAAGACAAACTGCAAATAATAAAGCAAAACAAACTGCAAATATAAAAATTGCTCAATATTTCATTAATATTTGATAATAATTTCAGAATATGTAACAGCCAAAATTAAGCTTTGTATGGAGTTGGCATATTAAAATAGTATTTCATAGTGCATTTGTATTATTGTATTAAATATCTAGGTCATTACATAACACTTATAACAAAATTTAAAATAATCACATCTTCATCATTAAACATATGCTTCCGAAATGTAACTGAATTTAATGCATTATATCCAGGTAAACAAAATTCCAAAATTATGCATATTTCATTTTTAGACTAGCATTACAGTTTCTATTTACTAAATACTGCTCACAGATCTGAATTAAGTCATGAAAAATGCACAAATCTGTTGCTGAAAATTAGTCTCAATTTAAGAATTAATCTGATTAATTTCTAAACAATTTTACACAAGAACCCACCTATATTCTGCAATTATTATAAAATTATACACTATCTATAATCAGCTTTGTTCTTCACTTGCTACAAATCTACGTGCAGGTTACGAATTAATCCTTTTTTAAAGGATTAATTTGTAACCTGCACGTTTGTACAATTAAAACCTTTACCAATTATAATTCGTTTGTACACTTAAAACCTTTACCAATAACGAAAATCCATGTTTTGATTGATGTTGGTAAGATGAAAAAGTACTGCGCTTCTCATCCATCACTAAACCAGCCAACTCATTATATTATTTTGAATACATGCCTTCAATATTTATTAACAAATAGCACTATTAGGTTATTTAATTAATAACAAATTTGGCATTGCATCCATTCTTTTTCAAAATCTCCCCCCCCCACCTCTCAAAATAAAATTCTATGGTAAAATAGAAAATCATGAATACTTGTTACTCCTTATTTTAAATTAACATTCTAATGCCAATAAATTAAAAGCCGGGAAGCTCAATTCATTGCAGTAAGCAATAATTGAATACAAAGGGAAAATGTTACTTGGAAAAAAAATACCTGGCGCATAATTTCTTGTTGTCGGAGTCTCAACTGCTCTCGCTCCATTTCTAAGCTCTGTACACGAAGGTTTTGCTGTCTCTGTTGTATGTTCATCTGATTACTTAAGCTTCCAGTAGTAGAGCTCACAGCAGCAGCAATTGAAGGGGGCAGTTTTATACTTTGTGTTGGTAGATGTCTTACAAGATTGACACTGTTATTAGCCTGTACCTTTGGAATAAAAACAAATAAGTTACAAGACAGATTCTGAGTGGCTATGTACTGAAAATATAACAAATGTAAAATATGCATTGAAAATAGGACAAAACTGAAAATGTATTTTGAATACAAATCCTTAATATAATAATTTATTTAAGGATAAAAACGAATAAGTTACAAGAAAAATTCTGAATGACTATGTACTGAAAATATAACAAATGTAAAATATGAATTGAAATAGGACAAAACTGAAAATGCGTTTTCAATACAAACCCTTAATATTTCAACCTTAATATAATTTAATTTACCCTTACTATATTTATTTTAAAAACCTTATATAATTTTTAATACCCTTTATAGTATTAAAAAATAATATAAAACTTTTTAACCAAACAATGATCTATTATAAAAACATTGTAATGGACTACATTACCATTTCAAATCCTTTATGGAATACAATTCTTTTTCCCTCAATAAATTAAATTTCAGGACAACATATTTATGCATATGCACAGATATGGTAAAAACCACTATCCTTTTATAACTTCCCAATTTTAAAATTTATAATTTCCAATTTTGTATTAAAACCTGAAACATTTTTGCCCACTTTCAGTTGTTACAAATATTTGTTTATTTTTATAATATACCATCTCTCATGAGCTGCCTTTTTAAAAAGAGCGGCCATCTCATCTCAGTTACAATATTTCTTAAACCATCATGCACTACATATTTTCCTACTATGTAAAATAAATGCATTAATTTATTACTTATAACAAATTATATTGTATTAAAATCCACTATTTATTATTAATTTGAAAATATCTATGATTGTAAAGGGTGTGTAAACCAAAATAAAATTTTCTATAACATTCTTTGTAACAGAACACAGAAGATGAAATTTCAAATTTAAATAATAAATAACATTAATTGTCCAAATTAAACTCCATTACCTGAGAAGGGTTCTGTAAAGCAGAAATAGACTGCTGAGTGGGGCAACTGACTGTGGGCGGTGTTTGAAGATGAGCAGCTGCAAAAAATAACAAAAGCTTCATTATCATTATATTTACAGGGGAAAAAATAATGAAATTAGTACAGTGCAAGCCTGGAACCGGCTCGAGTCTTCGGTAATTCCGGAAATTTCGGGATTTTAGATTTATCTCATTTTATTTGTTTATTTACAAGATGGTGATCCATAGGTCCGGATATTAGATCATTCCGGAAATTGGACGCTCGGATTTCGGACTTTACACCTTTATACTGTATACTGCATTTATAAATCAGCTTTTTGGCATAATATTAGCACAACCGCTTTTAGTTAATACTTTTAGTTTATATAATAGCTAATTATAATCACTAGTACAAACTTCTTCATGGCATTTTAAATAACTATGCCCCCCCCCAAAAAAAGGAAAGAAGAGAGAGGGAAAAAATTACGTTGAATGCATACACTTAAGAAAAAGGGGGGATGAAAAGAAAGAAAAAAATAAACACTGAAAAGCAAAATAACTAGTACTACTCTTCTTAAACAGAATTAGGAATTTTTTAATTTTTTCAGGATCAAATGTGAAGCAGCTAATAAATGCTTTGCCTTAAGTTTGGGGAAAAAAGAAAGCATCTTTACATACATACAGTCATATTCAATTTACTTTACTGCCATTAAATTTCATAAATTTAAAATACATATACTTTTAATTACAAATTCATTTTAAACAGTACAAATTAGTTCTTCAATAAAGTATGCTCTATAAAAGAAAAATTAACATATCAATTCTAAGTGTTTTTTTTTTAAATAACAGGTACATTTGACTTTAGAAAATCATACTTGCTTGAAGACATTTTAATAGTATGAGTCAATCATATGCTAATTATGAATGCTTATCATATGGAAGATTAAAAAAACCCTTAAAATTTTTAGTACAAGAATATGCACAAAAAGGGCTGAAAATATTTTATTTTTAAGATAATTTCTACCATATTCAATGTCAGTGGATCACAGTTTCAATGACACCTGGATTCCAGAAGAATGATTCCAGAAGAACTGTTCTTCTCAGATGACTATCTAGCAACTGATACATGGTTTTACCTCAATGCATGTACTAAACTTTTTGACAAGAAAGTAGCTCTTAAACAATGTATTCAAAATCAGCTGAATCAAAAGTTTCTAATATTAAGCATAAAAAATACACAGAAGTTTATAATATTTTTCTTTACCTTCAAATGGCCCTAACAGGCTATGCAAATAAAAGGACATAACACTAAGCTTTCCCTGAGTTAGAGTTCTGGGGTTCTGGTCTAGCTGCAAGAAGTTTTTCTCATATGCAATATAAATACAAACAAGTTTCTCTCAGAAAGTTTTCCCTGAAGGCATCCTTTGCTTTAAGCAGAAAGTCTAAGATCTTCAATATTACACTAAATTATATACATTTATGCAGTCAAATAATCCAGTCCATTCTCAAATGAACATCAGCAGGCTCCCTACTACTGGTTTCTAAAATGCATACATGAACATTCACGCACTCAAGCTTAAAGCCCATAATATATCTGTAGAAGCATTTTGTATAATATGACTTTGATCACTTATTGCCAAGTTCATTTTTATTTCTCCTTCATAAAGAAAATAACACATTATGTTAAAAATATTTAGAAAATGAGAGACACTTACGTATTCGAGGATCTAACCAGCTTGTTGTACGATCAATATGGTTAATAAAATAAACTTCTCCTTCGAGTGTGGTGGCTCTTTCCCAGCCTTTTGGAAGATCATTTATGTTTTGCATATCCACTGAAGCTGAAATGCTTCCAGAATTTAACTTCTTACGAGGATCAACCCATGTTGTTGTTTGTGTCAAATGACTGCAAATAATAAAACGTTGTTATGACAGATAAGAAAAAATACTATACATAAATATATGCCATTAAAAATGCATACACTTAAGAATAAAACGCACATGTAAGAAATGATAAATGAAAATTAAAGCATATTAATTTCAAAATAAAACAAATTAATTATAAAACTGACATTGAAAAATCACAATAACACTTTCCCCCTTCTTCATTTCTTTCTTGTTTCTTCCCCCCTTTTGCTTTCTTTGAGGGGCGGGACTACTAAATTTCAGATTGTGCTACTGTATTCAATGAAGGATTCTATATGATTTTTAATAACAGATCCACACAATGAACATCTTTCCAAAATAAAAAATCTATCTACCATCGAATTATATCGGCTCTTGGACAGTTCTACAAAGCAGCAGTTTGCTTTTCTGTTCTTTCACCACAAACACTGGTACGGCACTTTATACGCAGTAAAATGTCTTGTCTGAAGATTTTGAATTCTTCTCATACGGAACACTGTTATAGAGAAGCAATGAACATATCTGATACGTTAAGAAAAAAGTAAGTGATAAAGTTCATGATACAGTGTTACAGAATATCATTCACAACAGTCATAATATTCAATTTTTAAAGACCTAAATTATTGTTCATGTTAACTTGCCTTTTAATTGGGATTTTTTCAGAAAACATCCACATTTTCCCTTCATACTAACTTTTTGAATGATACAATTTCACTGTATCAATATTATCTTTTTTAAATGGCCAGTCGTTTTATTTAATAGCCATTAGCCTTGCGCCACTGCTAGGGCCGAAAGTGGTGGCCATTTCATTATTGGAAGCACCTAAATAGGTGGCCACCGTTGCCTCCTATGAAGGGACGGACAGTTAGACGGCTGTGTCTTCTCCGGTATTCGGACCCGGGCTCATCGCTACGGCAGTCAGGGTCACTAACCACTACACCGGCTAGGCGGCATCTATGTTATATATGAAAAAAAACTATGAATAAACTAGCTGCGAGTTCTATGCAATATTCTGTGGAACAAACACTTCATCTTCGCAGAGCAATACTGTGACTGGCAGTAACAGCACTTTGAAACAGCTGGAACTATATTCAAACGATATTCAGAGGAATAAACTGCCATTGCGTTTTATTTATTTATTTCGCTGAATTCCATCATTTATCAGTTAGTCATTACTTTTATATTTATATTAAAAATTCAAGCATTAGCGATAAAAGCTCTATATATTCTTCAGAATCTGATTTTGTTCGAAGTCAACAACGACCATGGCTTTCTTTCTCATCTGTAATATAATACAAGCTGCATGTTTAAAAATGCTATCCCCACAGTTTAATTAAATCACCATTTACATGTGGAATATCCCTTGCAACTATGAAAAATGTACAACAAAGTGAATAATAATTAAAAATGAAAATATAAATTCCATCGTAGTAACAACTTTCAAAATAACTTTGAATACTTAGCTTCTAAACGCAAAGTAAATTTATATCATTTCAAAAGATTTATTCAAAATTTGTCATACAGAACTGCACTTTCGAAACAGGAAGATACTCCAACTGTTAATTTTTACTGCTAGTATGAATAGAAAACAATACGCTTTTGGGGGGAGGGAGAGGGTGCTCTGGAGAACAAATTTTAAACCACAATAAATCACAACCATGAAATGCATTATATAAATTTAATCCGCTTTTATTAAATTTTGGAATTTCATTTTTTCCAACACCAATGAGAGACAAATCACTTACATAGAAACAGGTTACAACAATACACACTTTTATTCATTAAAGGAAAACACTAGTATAATGACATTTTAGTAATTTGAAAGATTTATCTTTTTCATTACCTATCTAATTTAACTTTTCGATTACTTTATAATATCTTTCTATTTACTTTCTTCTATTATACGCATCAGCTGTGTAATAAATTATACACCAAAACAAAGAAATGTAAACATACATTTTTGTATAATATCGAATTTAAGATGTAAAAATTCCTTAAACATAGAAAACCATATCATTTACATATGGAGAAAATTCTCAGTCATTTTTTAACGCAATATTGCTGCAGTCTTCCTTTTTATGAGAAGAAATACTGGTCTATAATGTACACGAAATAATAATGCTTGCACTGTATGTCCCACAATGATTTATATTTAATACACTAATTTTAAAATTACTTCATTTGCAAACAACATCTGAAAAAATTCCGTAAAGGATATGCTAACAAACACAGTAGAAAATTTTCAAAAATTAAAATACAGAAAGAACAAGAACAGCAAAAATACAGAACGAGTGATTTCTTATTTGTCAGTTTATCATAAGAGTTAAAATCATCTTAACATCTTTTGAAAGTAAGATATAATGTATTTTATTAATCCTTTGTAGGCAACCTGTTATTTACAATAATCAATATATTATTCAATCCATTATTTTAATTCATTCTTTTATTTACGATTTTCAAATGACTCAGCTTAAGAAACAAGGTATGTATTGCTAAGCTGAAAAGCGAAAAGAACGAAACCAGAAGAGAGAAAGTGGCCCGGGTTCGGGCAATTGCCCTTCGAACGTCAGTCACCCTTCGTTGGTGATTAGCCGCCCCATTTCAACTACCTGCAGGCCAACTGCCTTTCCGCCCGGTTGGTAAGATAATGACCAGCTTTCCCTCTAAGGCAACTTCAGACTGCTCGGCAGTGCGCATGAAAGTAATATCCATAGAGCCATATTTTCTCAACAGCATAAATCTTGATATATTTAAAAATCTATGCTGCTAAGTCTTAAAAAAAAACTTCTGGAAGTTATCGTATGCGTCTTAGATGAAAGCAGGTTATTATTAGAAAACACAAACTTAGCAATGAATTAGATATTTGCGTTAAAGTCCTCCTAAAAGTATTTGAGGAGTTTATCTGCTACTGATAGGTCAGCTTCACACAGAAACGGATTCGTATTTATCAGAGAAATTAAAATTGTGCATATATTTACAAACTGAAAAGCTCCGTATAGGCAGTCAGTTCCATATCGAAAATCAGACTTCACTCGCATATATTTACAAACTGAAAAGCTCCGTATAGGCAGTCAGTTCCATATCGAAAATCAGACTTCACTCGCAATCATCACTGCTCAGTACCATTCATCCATCCTCCTCTCACATCATCTTCAAATCTAAAATCCCCCTTTCTTTTCCAAAAATTCCACATTAAGTGCATCCATTTCGTGATTCTCGAGCAGCTTGAATTTAAGAAATTCCATTAAAGAAGATAACAAAATGCGTCATGTCTCTGGTTGACAGAAAAGTGGTGGACGAAGATGCTGCAACCATAAATTATCCCTAAGGTCCTAAGATTTATTCCATAATTTATCCCTAAGATACCACCATAATTTATCCCTAAGGTCCGTTGCAAGTTCTGTATGGCATTTTTGGAACATATCTATCTTCAAATATTACGATATTAATACGAAAAATTGCATACGACTGGCTTAATTTCCTCAGGCTTACTCCAATGTAATTAACCAACACCAGTTGCAAATAAATTGAGAAAGTCGTGTATTTCAACGTGTTAACTAAATATTTACTTTCAAATGAGAAGGAACGGAAAACTGCAGCAGAAAAGTGGGCTAATATTTGCGCAAGATAACAGAACGTTCGAAAGACAAAAATTTGTAATTGTGATGGATTAGCATTCCCAAAATTGATGGCCCATCCCAGCAAAGTAATACTGATCTCATCGCTGGTAACTCATAATTTTAGATAATAACGTAAGCTATATTTTAGATAGTAACGTTAAAAATGTTCGAAATTCGGATAATGTTGAAATGGACACTATCCAGAATGATAAGCCTCTTAAGAGTCAGATTAAACCGATTATGGTTCCGTTTCTTAAACTTAACAAATCTGTTATTTAAATATATATATATATATATATATATATATAATATAACAAGCAAGGGTAGTTAAACCTATCAGATGATACAAGTGTCATTTTTTATCAACTCAGCTTTCAGGGGAATTTTTGAAAATCGTACCTGTCTGTCCCGATAACTATCGAATTATTTTCGCGTTATCGCGAAACAGTATAAAACCGTCAAAATTTTTCTGAAAGGATTACTTTTGGACTGCCTTGCGTAAGAAATTAAGCAGGAACTTAGCGAGGAGGCTTTTGTATCATCAAACTCTGCCTTATGTAAAGATTTCGCACACGCGTGACTATGTCTCTAATTCAAATTCAACTCGCAAATGAACCTGTAACAGGAAGAGCTTGTAGAGTCATTAAATTATTTTGATACGGGAGACATGAAAATATGAGCAATGCCCTCGCCGGGACTCGAACCTGGACCTCTCGAATACGTGGGATGTGCTAACCATTACACCAGGACGGCATTCAGAGAGAAGGGAGAGAATGCCTTACATACTCCCCCTTTTAAAGGGCGACTGGGGATTAGTCGCCAATCGCCAAAATGCTGGTGGTGAAGAATCATCATCCACCACTTTTAGTTCGGGCGCGACTGTAGCGTCATTAGTTCATTTTGAAGCAGGAAAAATAAAAAATGAACAGTGCCCTCGCCGGAAATCGAACCTGGACTTCTCGAATACGCGCAGAGTGTGCTGACCATTACACCACGAAGGCATTCAGAAAGGACGAAGAGAATATTACATAATTACTTTGTTATGCCTCAATATAAATAGCAATTCTTACAGGTTTAATTATGGCACAATGCCGTAATTGTTAGCAGTATGGAACGAATGAAAACTCAACCCAGATGTGCAAAGTGTGTCCTAACACATAAAGTTCAGCACGAGGAAAAGCCCACAGACTAGCTAAAATGCCCCTGACGGCTGGCCAACAATATATATAACGTAAGTTATACAATATATAAAAAAAGACTGCAAACGTGTAATCCTTGACTTTTATACATTGCTAATGGTTGGTCTATACTAATAACGCAATTCAGGAGTTAAACGTTGAGGTTAATTTGCTTCAGCAATGAAATTTTAACGCTCGGATAA